TATGTAAGGCGGCCCATACCAGTGATAGATATACATCCTGCAATGAATCTCTACTATCTTCAAGCAAAACGTTTAAAAATATAAAACATCATTTAGCATTCATTTTATAATTAATATTAAACCCACCTCTCGATGTTTTGTAGGAACCACGTCTTCCAAGTTGCTTAACGCTTCGACATGGGGAAGAACCTCTACCGTCATCGGGTGAATCTACGGAAGATACTAAAATAGGGTAGCGCTATTACAATCAAGTTCTTTTCTTTTATACATATATATATTAACGATATGAATAAATGTAAAGATAATTCAATTTTAAGCTACATTATTCTTAGCGATATAGAAATATCAAAAAATCAATCTCAAGCATGCATAATAAGGGCCAAAAATAAAACTAGTGCAGTGACCAAAGAAAAAGATAATTAAACATAATTCGTTAACTACATATAATGTTAACCAATAATAATAATAATAATGATAATAATAATATAATAATCACATTCGATTAACAATAAAATTAATTGTTTAATCATTCGTTGGAATGAAAGTTTCATTCTACAAAGTAGTTCATCAATATATAATTATTAACGAACTACTTACTCGATAAACTAAACTTTCATTTTAACCCAATTAAATAATCAAACAATTAATTCAAATTGAATAATATTATTAGCATTGATGCACAAACAAATATATAATTATCATTAGGTAATTGTATTAGAATATCGTCTAACACTTGTCCTATAGAATATGTCATATGATATTAAAATAAAAACTATTAAGTGTAATAGTGTTATTCCTGATATTTGTTTATGTTTGTGAACGTATTTGTTTTTGAAAAAAAAATACAATATAGAATATAAAATTTAGTTTGTAAGAATATTTCTTTGGTGGTGCAACTTTATTAAGGATAATGCGAGTGGAGAGTGTGTGTAGTGCATACCCCTGAGACTGCCACCCCGATAAAGGGGACCGGAACGTCGGTCATCAAGGTGAGCAGCAGTAAGACTGTCCTGCGAACCTCTGTAGTAGTCTCGCCTCATCGTTGGTGAAGTCAGCGACGCTACAGTAAGTGTGTTAGTGCACAAACACAACAATCGGCACGAATTTTCTTTTGCTACACGCTAGTTTTTGCTTTGATAGTATTTTTATTTATTTATTATATGTATTAATATGTATTATATGTATATATATAATGTATATATGTCATCAGATATGAACAAAGAAAAAAAGGAGAAAAAAAAAAGAAGAAAATCTAATTATACATGAATATTTTCAATGATATCAACTATATCCTAATCTATCAATTGTAGCGTAACGTGATAGCACAAATAAGAAAATTTGCAGCTCGCGCGTGATAGGGTGAGATATTACATCGTAAAAAAAAAAAATAAAAATAATAATAATAAAAAAAGAAGAAACACTAAAATAAAAAGTGAACAAAAATACAAAGTCGGCCTTGCCAAATAAAGAAAAAAAAATCAAATAAATATCTTTATCTTTATCTTCGCCATGCAAAGAATAAATGCAATAATTACAACATTAAGGTATTGTTACTATCGTTAGATTATTACAATGAGATGGGTGAATAATACACATGTTGCAACATTGATTATATTATTTTCTCAGAGACTCGATTATGTATATATGTATAGAAAAAAAAGCTCATCGTAGTATTAATAATAATCCTATCGTTGACAAAAATGTCTACACAACAGCTGTGACAAATTTGAATTAAGTTTATACATAATCTTATCTCTAAGAAACACAAATGGATTTATAAATAATCGTCATAAACGATTACGATGCAATTTAATAATAGAAAAACCTACCTGTACTCAAATTAGAGGAAGAACCTTTCTTTCCACGACTAGGCGTGATAGCTCCAGAATCCAATTCCGTACCGGCGTCAACGTGAATTGTCTTTGGTCGTGGACGCGTAGTTGCAGTCTTATTACGTAATTTGGTTGGTTTTATTGCATTCAACAAATCCTTGTCAATGACTTTTCCCTAAAAATTTAACAGAAATGATAATGACATAATTAAATCTGTAAGAATAATAATAAACAATAGATAATTTATTTATAACTAACTTACTTCTCTCTCAGCTTCCTCAATTGCTTTCTTAACTTTATATTGTTCTAAAATGTGAGCTCTCCTCTGTCTTTCCTCTTCCTTCTTACGCGATCTCTCTTCGGCTTTTAATTTCTCTTGTTCTCTGCGTGCTTGAGCTTCAGCTTCCTTTCTTTCCTTCATTTCTTCTTGTTGTTGTCTTCTTTGTAATGATAATAACATTATACGTTCCTTTTTCTTTTCCATCTCGTCTAATGAATTCTGTGTAAAAAGTACCATGTAATAAACCATGTAGTAAATAATATCAATGTACAGTTATAAATATCGAATAATATAATTATGATTTCTTTTTTGTTTTCGTTTTTACAAATACATACCGGATCAGGATTCGTTAATTGCTTTCCAATAACTAAACCGGCACTTGATTGACGACCTTCCGCGCTACTATCACGATGTCTATCTCTTTGACGTTCTCTATCCATTTCCTTTTGCAATTCTCTATCCCTCATTTCTTGCCTTAAAAATTCTCTCTCTTCTGCTTGACGTTGTCTTTCTCTTTCTAAATCTTTATGCGCTTCCAACTGCTTTTGTCTATCTGTTATACTAACAGGCGGTGACTCCGTACGCACCGTGAAGTCTTCGTGTTCTATATAAGAAGATACGCTTTTTTCCTACAAAATTATTTTCATTTAATAATATTAATAATAATAATAATAACAAGTATTTCAATATAATTCATAATTTTTTCATAATTTTGAAATTACCTTCTTCGGAGATGTTCTTTTAAGTCTAAGAGTTGGTTTTGGCTTCTTAGGCACATCATTGTCAAAGGAAATGTAGAAGCCTTTTTCACCTGCATCTGTAGGATCGAGCGGTGTAACTTCTGGAGTTCTCGAAGGAGATGGTGTTGCTTCTCTAAGCGATGGATGAGGTTGAAAAGAATTTCGTGATATGGAAGGCCTAGTTGGAGATGGTATCCTATAAGTTCGACTACCTGAAGTAATATGCAAACCTCGTATACCATGTACAACTTCATCATCGTTTCCTAAAAATAAATATCATTAAATTAAATTAACAATTATTATTATATAATTCAATGAATGATAATTGATTTATAAATATAATATTAACCAATGAATGATATATTTTGTGGTTTCATATCATCAACAGGTGGAGCTGGAACAGGAGTATGTAAAGTACCACATTGTCTTTTTTCTGTAGGACTTTCGCAAGTTATTGGAATATGATGTACAGTTGGCCTTTTCGATTCCGGACTTTCGCTCATTAACTGACTAATTCGATGAATCTATATGTGTAAAATATAATTATAAATATTATTTTGTCAACTAGTATTTTGTGTTTGTTTGGTCTTTCATTTTCTTTTTCTAATTTTAATTATAATAAAATAATCTTACGGCGTTACGATGTTGAGGACTAGCAGTCGTTGATCCAGTTTGATTAAAAAGTGATGCAGACGTTGGATAAGTAGATACAGGCTGATTCATTTGATTATTACAAAGACTATGATCACCACCATTAAGATACCTTGGCTCTTGGGATGTTTCATGAAATACAAAACCTTTTTGTTGAGGTGGATGAGTATTCCAACTTCTTGTATCTTGATGATATAAACGCATATCTTGTTGGTAAGCTATTAATAATTTAAAATAATTCAATATATTTAGTATATTATTTTATTTATTATTTTAAATAATAAAATGAAAAGAAATTGTTTACCAGTTGTTTGTGGATTAAATCGCGAATCAATAGGTTGCTGATATCCTACATTAGTCATTTCATTAGCTAAATTCTGACTTGGTGGTGGTTGTCCCCACGTTCTCCTTTGCAATTGCGGTTGATCGTGTAAATAAAACTGTGACTGTTGAGAATCTTGTATTCTCGGAGTTAACGTACCCATCGGAGACATGCCAAAAGGCTATACAAGAATGAAAATATTATTTCAAATAATCTAAGAACAAACAATTAAATAAAAATCTTATTTCTTACTTGCATATGATGCTGACTAAGACTTTGTAATTGTTGCAATTGTTGTTGCATTTGTTGCTGATGCTGCGTCATCAAGTGCTGTTGTTGTATTTGATTTTGTTGATTAGCTAAACGTTGTATATCGGCTTGTATTTCGCTAAGACTGTTGTTCATTCTGTATTCAAAATATATGGATAATAATAATTATATTCTTACAATAAAAACAACATTAAAATTACATCATTTTAATTGAAATATATTTACAGTGATATTGATTGATGATACTGATCTAAATCCATATTTTCGATGTCCGGTGTACGCCTTGTTTCAATAAATGGTGCATTACCGTCTTGTTCCAACCATTTATGTTCTACATCTCGAACATCTTCACTGATTTCCTGTGCATACATATATTAATCAAATATTAAATCATTTATTCATAATATTGTAGACAACTCTGTGAATAGTCTAGCGTGTGAAAGAGTGAATTATCGAAAATATTAGTGTTAATAGTAAATATTTGCTATAAAATATAATAGAAAATATGAAATTATAAATATTACAAATATACATTTAAAATCACTTATTGTATTCTCTCAAAAATAGTTGACAATACTCGTGATAAGAAGATCTGCTAAAAATATTTCACATTTATAGATATGTTTGATCAATATTTTTGTATTACTGTACAAGAAACAACAACGAGAGAATCATATTATGTTTACTAAAAACTAAAAAAAAAAGTTAATGAATAAAATTAGTGATCAGTTTTTTTTCTGTTTTTATTAAATTAATAAAAAGTGCCGTAGAGTGACATAAATTAAATCAAAGCAATAGAAAGAAAATACAAATCAAAATAAAAATAATCATTAAAAGAAAAACAATCAAATCATATACAGAACATTCATATGAAAACCATACGCACACAATAACCCATAAAAAGGAAAAAAAGAAGAAAAAAAAACAAAAGAAACCTTTTTTTTTAATGTTAAAATCAAAATGCAACACAAATAAAATAATCAAGAGAAATATTAATAAAAATATGCTTGTGAGTAGCATACAAACATTGTCTCAAGAGTGTTTAGTACTGCATCATGCACACTTCACAATTGGTTATTCATGTAATATAGAAAAAAAAGGTTTATAGGGAATAGGATGATAATTGTTATAGAATATTTATAATTAAAAATTACACTCCAAATTGTTTCGTTTTCCTCGAATACTCAACTATTATTATCATCATCTAAAAAGCATAAATAATTAATTTGGTTGTTATATAAAAAGAAAAAAGAACAATAAACAAAAAAATAAAATGCGAACGATTTCTACCATGAAGATTTAATAGAAGAAAAAAAGCAATCATACGCTTTAGAAATTGATAGCCTTTCTTTTTAATTTGTTCGTTCAACGATGAGATATATAAAAATAAAATTAGGATTTATTTAATTAGATCAATTTGCCGCTAAATGCTATGCGTCAAAGAAAATGAACCAAAAGTAATCTGACTGATATATATATATATATATATATATTCGAAGCCATACAAAAGCACATATTAATTAATTAATTTGATTTATTTAAAAGAAAAAAGAAAAAAATATATATATAAAAGAAATAGAAAATTATTGCTGCATTACAACGTCCAAGTTTCCCGCCTGGAGAGAAACCTTTTTGTAAATAGTTGTCGTACCTTGAGCGAGAAGGGTCTCTGTGGTTTTTCTTGAGAGGGTTGTTGAGGGGGTACAGGATTGGCCTCAGATACACTTGTTGGGGTCTCCCCCGAAGATGCAGAGGTTACTGGGGTGGGGGGACCAATTTCTTCCGGACTGTCCCCCCCAGATGTCGACGAGGAAGGAGACTTTACCTTACCCTGCAACCAGCCCAACCAGCGTGCCTTGTTAAGTACTCAGAGTCCGCCACCAACCATTGTACACCATGGAAGAGTGCGTGTGTCCATAACCAGATTTTTATTTTACGTTCAAGCATCAAAGAGCCAAAGCTTATTTAATTAAGAAAAAATTTCTTGCAAATCATATTTATATATTTATTTATATATAATATTTATCTTTTTTTTGGTTTGAAGCTAATTTACTACGTGTGCGCAAACTCTGTTCTAAATTTGTTATTTGAAAAATATTCGATATATAGGAAAAGAAAAAGAAGAAAAAAAAACTGAGGATAGGCAATTAACAATGCGATGGCTCCAACTAAAGGATAAATTTTAACACAATATATTATTATATGTATAAATGTTCATTTTTATCAAATTAATGATAATTCTATCTTGATTATGGCATCTATGAATTCTCTATTGTAGCAATAATTCTAAATATATATGAATGATTATATTGTGTCAATAGATTTGTTTTTTAATTTAATAATATTTCTATAATAATTGTCTAAGTATGTAATAAATAAAATGCTTAAGTTCATCTCTTTTATATATATGTACATCAATAATAAACAATTCAAACATGCACACCAGCACCTCAACAAAAAATTAAAAAAAAAAAAAAAAAATAAGAAGAAAATGCATATCTCACAAGTTCATTCATTATTTTTCTTCCAAATGTTTCATATATATATATACAAATTATTAATAAATCATAAAAATAATTCATAAAAGCAATAATACTAAAGATAATTAAATGAATATATAAACCTTTAAATTTTTTTTTTTTAAATAAGAAAAGAAAAAATAAATAGAAAAACAAAAAAGATATTCAATGTGCATCAATGTGCACTTACCACCATGATCAGCTGAAAGAGATGGAGAAAAAGAATAGTATTAAAAATAATCTTGTTAGTATTATCGATAATTACTTTACAATAATGCAAAGAGAAAAATCCAAAAGGAAAAAAGTCGAAATTACTGAAGCAAATCAAATGGAAGAAGTTGGATCGAAATTTCTCTACAAAATTATGATAACGAATAAATGAATGAATTGGTGAAAAAGATGCGCAGATTTTTACCTTAAACCAAGTACTCCATAAGCTTATTTTCTTCTGTTAATATAATAATAAAAAAAAAAACACACACACACACACATACTTTTAAGTTGTACGATATAAAATATACGATGAAAAAAAAAGAAAGAAAAAAAAATAATAAAAAGAAAAAGTATCTACAAAGTTAAAAATTAATGAATCGTTCCACATTAAGCATTGCACGATTCAAACTTTATGATTTTGTGATTAATAATTAATCATCAAATATTCATAATTTGAATGATCGTACAAAAAATTAACATGGGATGCATTATGCTTAACACTACTATCTAAATACAAACATATGTGTATGCAATAATTAATGTTATGAGGTATGCGCAACATAAATGTTGTTGAACGATGACCAGACGAAGAAAAAGAAACACACTAAATTTTTGTTCATAGTGTTTTCTATATGCATTGATCTATACTAAACACCCGTGCCTAAATTTTGAAATGAATAATATAATCTTTGACTCATGTCTACACGTAATGATTTGTTTCTCAAATAAATAAATTTTGAAAGATATAATAGATAAATTTTCTAGGATCAATGAAGATGAAACAAATCATTAATAGCCATGGTCTAAAATAGAAACAGTTATGAATAAATATAAAAAAAAAATGTAGTGTAGTATCAATGATTTTAAGAATTATTTTAGATATATATACATTGTTTTAATATACCTTTGTAACTGCTTGTAGAAATGCAGCTTTTCCAACCTTTTGTCGTTGCTTCGACATGACCACTTCCATTTTTCTTTTTTCGTTTTCAATATGACGACGTTTTTCTTCTAATTTTAATCTAATATTGTTCAGCTGCGAGGCCATTACGGTGTTACCACCATTTTCGTCTAATATATTAAAAATAAAATATTAAATTACATAAATATATATAAATCGCGTAAAATTGTATCGACTCACCGATCGATTGATTTTCCATTTGTTGAGAATGTTGTGTGCTTTGTTGTTGCCATGTTGTAGTATTTGGTAATGTCGCAAACGTAGTCTTTTTCTCAGCAATACCATTTCCATTACTTTGACCATATTTTTTATTAGTTACATTAGATTTAGTCGTTGAATTATCATCTCCTCTATCTTGATCAGTATAAGTAAGATTGATCCCCTTTTCCATACTTTGTTTACTGAGGTTCGAAAAACTGGACAATTTCGTAGTACTAGCATCGTTATTATCATTTTCACTGGAATGTAAAATGCTCTTGAGGGCAACATTATCCAAGCTAGAATTCGAGGCTTGTCTTCTCAACCTGGATGGTTCTTCATTATTATAACCATTATCTGCAAGTATATGTTGAACGCCGCTTCCATAAACATCCTGAACACTTGAACGTGCAGGTAAAGTGGGTTCGGTGCTACTTCTTTTACCAGTATACACTCCTACCTCTTTATCTGGATTTCTACCAAAGTTATGTAAATTATCCTGCGTAAAAAATCTTCCGTAGTGTAATCCGTTATTTTTGTTAATTCCAAAATTCGATGCTGAGTTTGAAAATATACCTGAGATCCACCAAAATTTTCAATGGTCAATTGAGAATCATCGGTAACACTGTTACGTCTTGATCGACGACCTGCATAAGAAGTTCTTCTTTGATCTTCCCAATTGCTCGGTCTTCCTGCAGCTTCTGCTCTGCTAATTATTTTCTCATCGGCAACTGAACTTAAAGTAGGAATACCTTTTCCACGATGTACTATGAAACTTTCTTCACTACCTGCCCTTCTATAATATATAATTAATTATTTATATCAATAATTAATCAAAATAATATTAAACGTTTCAAACTCATTGCATACCTATCATCATAAGAATGACTTTCAGCAGTTTGTTGCAAAGATTGCGACTTCTTCACAGTACTGGATGGCACGCTTTTAGCAACTAGAAAATAAAATAAAGAAAAACCATTTAATCGTACGAGTTATCTGGAATAAAGGATTTACGCACGAAACTCCAAATATATAAAAATATCTAAATACATAAGAAAAAGAACAAAAAATAATAACATTAAAAAGAAAGTAAAAATAGACATGGTGAATATAAAAAATCAATTCTGTATATATACGTACATATATATACACATATCATATTAATTAAGCTAAAATATGTGAAACATAAAAAATAAGAGATTAAACATCACTCAATATTAAAATTCTAATGCTATTATGGGAGAAAAAAAAATCATGATCCTTCAAGGCAAAGAAATAGAAAAAAATTTCTATACATGATTAAACAATTTTCGAAGAAATTAGTATAAAATAAAAGTCTAATTTACAATATAATAATAAGATATATAGATATAAGATATTCATATAAAAATATTACAATTTCATTAATTAATTACTAACTACTAACTAGCAAATATACTAAACGTATTAACGATTCTGAAAAAGAAATAATAAAAAATTAAAATAAGGAAAAAGGAATGAATGATGAGATGGTTAAAAATGATATTTATATATGTATATATACATACACATATACATATAAAATCATAAATAACACAGATACGTATACACAATATACATTGCAAAACAAACATACTAACTGAACATGGAGTAGATATATATTTTTTTTTAAATCTTTTTTTTTTTTTTTTTTTAAATGAATACCCTAAATTTTCTTCCACATTTAGTGACGTTATTGTATATTAATTGATATTATGGTAATAAGATGTCTTAACCTCATGCAAAATAAATAGAATTCTAAGCGAATGCAAGAAGCACAGCAGCCATTGCCGCGCACACGTATTAGAAAAATGTGTGTTTATGTTTTTTTTTTCGCTAAACATATGGTAATTTACATGCAATCATGTTCGAAGGGGGATATTGCTACGCTTTATGACAATGATCTGAATGTTATGCATATATTATGGATTAGTAACAAGCAAGTGCGCTCCTAATACCTGTACTTATAAGTACAGATAATAAATACTATAATTATATATATATATATATATATAAGTTCTTAGAAATGGAAAACGCATTTGTATGACTGACCAATAATAAAAAAGAAAAACAAAACGAATCTATTCATTCTATTAATAATCATCATTGATTTCCCTGAGTTGTATCAAAGAGAACGGTCTAACATCAATAAAAGCGAATAGTAATCAGCAAAAATTGTGCTCAACACACACAAATATATATACACACATATATATATAAATTCAATATATAATATTCGTTTAATAGAATTTAATTATAAAAAAGAAATAACATATTTCATAAGTATAAAATTATATATGTATATATGTGTATATAAATATATATATTATGTGTTAAGTAAAGAAGCTATATATACCGATCTGATCTCCACATTGAAAGTATAACGTATGTGAAATATAAGTGAATGTGAGAAATATAGAAATATTCTAACGAAGTAAAGAAGTATATATATATATATATATATATATATATATATATATATGTATATACTATATATATATATATATATACAATACAAAAAAGGTATATATAACGTAGATATATGTGTATAATTAAAAATGTAGAGAAATCCTCCTATAGATAACACTTGGATCCTATAGATTTGTCATATGTATTATTATTTTTGTTTTTGTTTCTCTCTATATAAATATAATAATATATATGTGAAAACATGTCAGTCTGCGAAACGCGATTCACAAGAGAAGACCACCTAGTTGATGATTGGTTTGGTAACGTGTGGTGGGTACCTGTGAAGCCTGGCGCGGATACGGAGAGGTTGCTTCTCAGATCAGGTATCGGAGCTATAGACTGTGGTAGACTTCTTTTATGAGCTACGCCATGACTATTGCGCGGGCACGCTGCACATTGCCCGTGTCACCCGCACGCACACACAGTATTGGTTCATTGGCAACCGGAAGTTGACGAAAGAAGAAGGCGAGGAGGATAGTAGCGTTGTTGTCAAGCATCAAGAAGATTATGCCATAGAAATATATGGAAATACGAGTATTACAGTTGTATATTTTAATATACTATCGTTTAATTTCACTTTAGTTTCTTTTGCATATTAAATGTTTTTTTTCCCTTCTTTCCTTCCTTTCTTTCTTTCATTCTTTTCTTTTCTTTTTTTTTTTTTTTATGTATATATTTATGTTTAATCTTTCTTACACTTTTTCTCTTTTTCTTTTCTGCTTACAAAGTAGTATTAAATTAATTAGGATAGATATATTTTATTATTCGTTGCTGAGGATATTATCTGGTTTCTTAAGGCTGGGGGCGAGTGTGTGTATTGACACTGATAAAAAGCGTGATACCAATCCAATTGCAGGCAATCCTTCTCTCTCAAGGTTTTAACATAAATTATATAAATATATTATTTTAATATTATTATTATTATTATTATTAATATTATAAATAAAACGAAACGATATGTTTTTTTCTTCATGATAAAATGTAAAAGTATTGCCTGCAATAGCAATGGAATTCCATGGAAGAAAAAAAAATAAGTATAAATAACACAAATTATAGAACGGGTAAAAAAAAAAGTCCGGATGCAATATGTATGCCAGCCTTCACCAAACATTCTTAAACAATTAAATATATTAATTTCCACCACCAAGTAACAACGGGTTTTTATAATTAAAATCCCGCAGTGTTATAAATAATACATTAAATATTCTAGGTAGGCTGTCAACATGATCGAACCGATCTTTCCAAATAGGAAGTATATATATATATATATCCAGAGGAAAATCATATACAATTATTCATAGAATATATCACGTACCATCCAAGAATTGCATTGCCCTTTCTTCGCCAGGATATCGTACGCATTTGGCTGGATGAATTTCCAAAACGTTGTACATGTCCGCCAGAAAGACCACCAAATTTGGTTTCATGGATCTATTCAAACAATGATCATTTAAAATATCAAATATATAATTATTATTATTCTTTTTTTCTTTTTAAATTAAAATTAATTTTAATTATAATCTTACCCTCTCATATAGGTAACATCTTCAGGTTGCATATGGAAAATAGAATAGGGTAAGCATCTGGTACAAAAAGTATGTACCAATGAAAGATTGTGCAAGGCATCAGCAACAGAAGGTCTTTTAGACACCCTGATATCCATCCAATTCAATTCGCCAGGACAATAAAAGGCAACGACGGCTGCTAATCCAACACCATCGCAGAGAGAATGAAAATCCTTAGCGGCTGGCAGTTCTGGTAATCTTGTCTTATCGCCACCACCTTCCTCACTTTGAATTTTAGCGATTAACGCGTGCGAAGCGTGGCTTATCCAAAGTAAAAGTCCTTTCTCGTGATCGTTTGGAACTTCTACGTCAGCTTGAGGATCAAATCGACGTATTGCTGACACGACACGATCACCAGTTACCACTTCCTTCGCGTATAAGACCATAAGGCCTTCTATCACAGTCATATGAGCGGACTATAATACAATTAAAATGTACATTATTATAATATCAATATTTATATCATTTCATATTATAAATTGCATTCATTTAAAATCATCATTTGTATACGTTACAAATAAATATTACAAAACAACAATCTCTTACCATTTTAATTGGTGAATTTTGAATGAGAATCGTTTCGGTGAGCTGAGTATTGTTTGATTCGGCAACGTTCACGCCCTTTCTCGCCAGTGCTTGGAGTATACCGCAATGATTCTGATTGTGATAATTTGGATCAGAATAAATATTCGCCAAAGCAAGACAATAAAGTTCAGCATTGGAGAGTGCGTGGACGATCTGCGGCTTCAAATGTTCTTGATCCTATCAAATAATAACTCAATATTAGTATTATCAATAAACAAAAACAAGAAACAAAATTGCAATTATGAAAAATGTAATAAAAAAAACGAGTTAGCATGGATCTCATAATCATCATCATCAATAAAATATTCCCATGAAAATAATTGAACGATGACGAAGAAAGTGAAAAATAATAAATCCTCTGCGCTGAATTATCGATCCGTATTACTGCACACAACACAACACAATACGTTTGCTGTGTGTGGTGACTCTGATGTGAATGAAACATAATACTGTGTAAGATTCCCCGACACGACATAACACCCCTTTATTTGAAGATTTGCAAAACGTAAGAAAAAACCATCAAAGGAAAATAGATGTAAATCAATTAAATTGTCGTTAAATGAACAAAACAAAAAAAGTAAAAAATTCAAAAATAAGGATTAATAATTTAATTAAATAAGTTTAATTAAAACGAAATGAAATGAAGAAAAATACACACACACACATACAGTTGCAATATGATATAAAAATATTCTATTGCAATAATCAGAAGAATAGATAAAAGAAAATTTGTGTAATAGCAAACACATAACCAACGGGTAGTAGATAATGAAGCAAGAATTAATTAACGATTCCTTTTTGATTCACAACGGTATGATTTAAAACTAAAAGGAGAATTTAAATTCCAATCGATTAGAGTTTTTCTGATGTAGAGATTCTCTTTTCTACAGAGAAACGATGAACAAAAAAAAAAAGAAAAACCGAAGGAATAAAGAAAGAGATCAATTATCGGATGACGATACTCGTTGCTTCTTTTTCGTTCAGGTGAATGAGAAAGAGAAAGATATATATATAGGGAAGGGAGGGTAAGTGCAAGGGAGGAAGAGTGCAATGTGATAACGACCTCTTGGAAATCAGCCAGGATCTCTCTTACCTATCTCTTAAAACTCGAACTATAATCATCAACGCATTAAAACTTTAACTATTTGAAAGCAATCGACAGATAATTGATGAACGAGTGTTCTTTGAATTGATCAATGAGTATTATCAACAAAATGTTTTGTGATAAATGATTTTTGTATTTTTTATTTTCTTTCCTTTTTGTTTTTATTTTTTTTATTGTAGAAATGTTTCATTTATATTTAATTATATTTTATCTAAATTTATAATTGTAATTGTAAATATATATTTACTATTAATATTAATACAATTATTACAATTTTAATACATATATATATATATTTATTATAAATTATAATTATAATTTTGATTGTAATTGTATTTTCTAATTATTTTCATCGTTCTTCATAGACCCAATAAAAAAAGGAATAAATAAATAAATTTAGTCGAATTATAATCATCAATGTATAAAAACTTTAAATACATTTTCAAGCACGTGTAAATTTATTATAAATCTAAATAAATAACAATATTGATACTTTTCAATGAATAATTTTATTATTAATATATAATATTTTTTTTTATTATTATAATTTAATTTTTTTTTTATTGATATTATTCACAACTATTGGTCAACTCAACAAATTATTTCGAAACTATTTTCTTAGTTTTTCATAGCTTCAATAAAAAAAAAAAAAAAAAATAACTGAAATAAATAAATCTATAATTTCGTTTATCGATAAAAAAAAAAGAAAACAAATTCCCCCCCCCCCCTCCTCCTCAGGGTATTTCTATATATACTATAATTTATGTTAGAATTTATAGACAATAGGAGAATCGAGAATTAATGTTCCATGAAGTTCAGATACTCAATTCTTCGTGGGAGAGGAGTTTGAACTTTCATTCGTGGATGGTTTTAAACAGAAAAAATATATATTTTCCACAAAACGAAATACAATCTTCGAGTTATTAGTAAGATAATTAATGGTACGGAAATGATGTTGTTTCGAAACTTTGATATTACAGTTGAAATGAATATTATTATGATAAATATAGAATAAATGAAATAATAAGAAAGTGCGATCTTTTAATTATTTATAATAAATATTATAAATATTTTGTGTCAAACTAAATGATGGCAAATCCAAAAAAAAAACACATTTTATAAATATTTAACACCATACATATTCAATATTAACACGTATTCTAAATTATTGATTATTATAAAAATAATTTCTAAATCTTTTGCAAAACATGATATTTTACAAATAGTTTAAAATTAGATATTACTTTTATAATCAAAGTTTCATAACATGTATGTATGTGAGTATTCGTGTGGAGGTCGTTGAACGAAACTTAGAAAATAGATTTCCTATAATCGATGCATTTAGATAAAATTGGAAATAACAATAAAAATAATCAAAATAATAGAAAGAAAAAGATACGATGTTACACGTTTCACTGTTAAATACAAAAGAAGAAGATTAAGAGATAACAAATGTGTACGACGTTCTAGAATAATAATACAATTGAAACTTTAATTGGATCAACTGCCATCAGGAATGGAAGATTCACGTTTTTCTGCAACGTGTTTGTGACAATTTATTTTCCAAGGAAATATATTTCAACAAAAACGAGATCAATCCTATGAAAGATTATATTTTTTTCCATCGATATGATTATTGTTAACAAATCCAACAAAATAAACAAATAAATTTATTGATCAAAATTCAACTATCTAGTTGAGTTAAATCTATTACAATATTGCAATAATTATGAATTACAAATGTGAGATAGTTAAATTAAATTTATATAATGCAATTATTTCCAATTTGAATATTTATGAAAAAATTGAAAAATGTTGAACTCGCGAATTGCAATTATTTCATAATTGTTTCCCCAAGAGATGTAAATTATTATTATTCTTCTCTTAGATTGAAAGGTTGAGTAACGTTGCAGTGATGCATTGTTCAGATGAATAATAATAATTATAATAATAAAAAAATAAAACAAAATGAACAAAATCGTTTACCTCGTGGTCACGATAATATGGCTCGCGAAGGTTGTCTGGTACTCGATTGTTGTATGCCTTCGATAGGAGCCATTTCACGGAGGCACGTTGTTTAGCCTGAAAAATACAATAAACAAATTCTCAAATTAATAAAAATATTTATTGATGGATTGATTATTTTAGTCACGACATCTGATGACTAAAAAACAAACTACCAGTTTCACAATATGTAATATAATAAATTATTAACACTAGATATATATACCACCATTTTCATTATACCTATTTCTACCACACTAGTCAAAATGACTGGTGTATAAAAAGAAATGCTTTTTAAAGATTCCAGTCATTATTTACTCTTAAAATATAACAAAAAATGTTTAACAATAATAAATTTAATAGATAAATGGATTTATAAACATTTTTAAATAACAAAACGCTTAATGATTTACAGAAATCAAATGTTACATGAAGTAGAAATTTTGAATTAAAATAGTCCGACCAGTCAAAATGGCTGGTCTGATATATCTAGTGTTAATGCAACGCAAGATTCATTAAAATAAATTAACAAGATAAATAAATATTTTTTTTTTTAATAAATACTATTGAAATGATAAAATTATCTTTGTTAAATATCTTTCTCACTTAAGAGGATAACATAAATTAATTCAAATAAATATAATTATCGAATATAAATAAACGGATAACCATTTGATTGGATAACAATAGTCGGCCATGTCTGTTTTTTAAAACCCCGCCTCCACAAGTCAATTACCAACAGAAATATAAATAAAGAAAAATAAAAAATAAAAAATAAAATAAAAAAGATCATTCGTGTCTTAAGAATATACATAAAAATTGATAAATAATAAATACTTTGTTATCAAGACTACTTTTCTTATCTTCCTTCATTATACTTTAAACACATCTTCCCTTTTGTTATCTTTTAACACATGCTTAGAGAAAGATAAGAAGCTTTCACTATCGAGCCACTCGAGACAGGGTTCTTATTCGTCCTACACCCGCCCTACCCTTCTTTTCTTCCTCTTTCACCACCTCCTCTCAAAAGATGCTGTATTGTTATGGTGATGTATTAAATATATTATATATATATATATAAAAAAAATGATTTCTACAAGATTTGATTAAAATTTCTAGACAATACTTAATCAATTATACCTGGTGACTAATTATAAATTTGAAATATTACAAATTTAAATAATAAATTGAACAAAAAGTATAATATATTTCTACAAGATTGGATTAAAGTTCCTAGACAATACTGAATCAATTATTCTTCCTTTTTCTTTTTCCTCTCCAACATCACCCACTCCCCTCCCCCCTTTGGAGAAATTTCTTTAGTTTGAAATTTTTTAATTTAAATAACAAATTAAGCTATATAAAGTACAGAAGAAGATTTTTAAAAGACGACATTAAATCAATTATTCTTTTAGAGACTTTATTTAAAAGTTTGCAATTTTACAAATTTAAATAATTAATTGTACATCAAGCATAATATATTATATTACAGGATTGAGATCGTATTTGAAGTTTTTCTAAACGATTTTAAAATCAATTTCTTCTCTTAAAAGGCTTCTTCTTCTTCTTCTTTTTTTTCTTAGCTAGCAAGTTTATACAATTTAAAAAATAAATTTAATTTCAAGGTATATAGAAAATTTCTACAAGATCGTATTACAACTCAAGAATTCTTAAAAAAAAACGTTGAATCATTTCTTTCTAGAAAATTTTGCTGTAAGTTTTTGAAATTTTACAATTTAAAAAATAAATAAGCCTAAAGTCTTTACAGAAGGTGGAAAGAGGGGAAAGAAAGAAAAGGATAATCGAGTTCTACAGGGTGTCACAGAATAAAATGTTATCCCGAACACTTTGAAATTACGAAGAAGATTATGTTTAGTACGAAATGTTAAAATACAAGCACGCGTCTTTTTAAACAAATCAAAATACGGTTACATTTTTTGGATGGCACCCTTTTTGGGTTGTATTTTTATTTATAAAAAAAAAAAAAAAAATAAATAATTACTATTCGAATCGTAATGAATTTTTCTGTTTTGTTTATTTTCTTTTTAAATTCTTGATTATAATATTTGATAAAGTTTTATATCAGGTAATAGAAAAGTTTTCCACGATATTACTTTTCACGATAGTTTACCGCAAGAATGGGCGAGGCTGTGGGGTGATGGAACAGGAGGGGGTAGGGGTAGGGGTAGGGGAAAAGGGGAAAGGAGGATCTGTCGAACGTGTTAAAAGAGGTCAGCAAAGTTTAAAAATCATTGTTATCGAAGAATGCTTGTTCGCAAGCCATTAAACGTCGTCATCCTTCAAAATAGACCAACTCTGAAGGGAATAAGGGAATGAAGAAAGAAATAAAGAAGAAAAAACATTTTCCTATTTTTTAACGTTAATACACTTCACCATTAACTTAACTTTTCTTAGAAATAAAACGAAAAAATTTTTTTCAATCTTTCGTATGAAACACCCCTCATCCCATTCCACCCTCTCTTAATATTTTAAATGAAAACGACTGGTTTTAATTAAATTCGCGAGAAAAACTTGTTTCTTACATTATGTATAATAAATTTGGATAGAATTTTTAATGCATTTTATTAAAACACACACACACACACACACATTTTTAATTTCATTTATATACGCAATAATTATTGATCGTTAGATTATTCAAGAGTTTGGTTTTCTTATTTTTTTTTTTTTTAATAAATAAATTAATTAATTAACAGTAAATTATGGCAACAACAATTGCATAGATTTATTAGACAATTTAATTTTTTATTTAAACAAAAAGAAAATTGTTGATAATGAAATTAATTTATTTTATTTTGTTTGATATTTATAAAAATTGTATTGTGACCATTTTTCTTTGTTCGAACAAAATCATTTCGATTTTCTAGAAAACTTGAGAATAAGTACTATAAAATACGATTTACTGTTCTACAAAGAATAAAAGATAGCAACTGAAAGAAGATGTTACTATTTTCTTCATCTTTTCTTCGAATACTGATTCGAGTTTGAGAAATATTTCAATGGTCTCTTTATCGACTCGTTGGGATAAGAACGGAAAGAAATCTGGAATGACGTTTTACGTGAAATATCGAGAAACACACATACACATAGATATATACAATTCTACTCGTTAAAAAAAAAGTATTACAGACAAAATATAAAAAGTTCTTGGATAATTTAAGCAAAAATCAATACAGTATTTTTTTTACAGACAAATTTTCCATTCTAAATTTTAAATTAAAATAAAAGAAAAAAAAAACAAAAAGTAGAATTATCCATCTAAAAATAATAGAAAAAATTTGTTAAATTTGTAGAAATTAAAACGATTGAAAAAATGGAAATATGCTTTCGACAGAAATGTTACAAAAAAAAAAAAAAAGAACTCGTTAAGAGAATTAAATTTATATCCTTTTAAGGTAATCCCACATCTCTCACCAGTCTAGTTTGTATATTATGGATTATTCTAAAATTACGTGTCAGTTAATGCATTAGTCTCCAATGGTTCTTAAAGTGAGTATTGCAAAAAATAAAAATTTATAAAATAAAAATTTATAAAATTAAATTTACTATTTGACTTTTCATTTTATTTTTAAATAAATATGCTACTACGAATAAAAAATTAATATTTGTTATCAACAGTAATTAATATTATTTATTTTAATATCTCTAATCACTTTTATTCAATTTTAAGTTCCCATATATATTATTTGCATAATATATTTAAATAATATATTATTTAATATAGTTATAATATAATTATTTATTATTATTCAATTTTAAGTTCACATATATATATTATTTGCATAAAATATATTTAAATAATTTATTATTTAATTAAAAAAAAATTTTTAAATTATAATTAAATAATATATTATTTAATATAATTATAATATAATTAATAATTTATTATTTAATTAGAAAAAAAATTGTTTATTATTAAAATAATGTATTACATTTAAATTAAATAATTAATAATAATTTCCAAAAATTGGACAACATTTCGTGTTTAATTATCTAATATAATTAAATATAAATTTCAAACAATGATGTCATTTTTCTCTCTAATATTTTTATGCACACCGATGACGATGATAGTAAGAGGAAGAAGGGGAGTGATAGATGTAATTGAAAATTTTTAAATAAAAAAATAAAAAAAAAGAGGTGAGGTTAAAAAACAAAAATAGAATAACAACAACCACCGTTATTGTATATACGATGGAAAAATAAAATTGTTTCTTTTTACAATGTTAGGAAGAAAAACCGGAGGCGCGTTTAAGCGTCCGCACGGGGAATGCAACGCACGTGCGCACGTCCAGGCAGCGGTGCTTTTATATACGCGTGGCTTCTTGTCTATAAAAAGATGCCAGGTCATAGCTTAAAGAGAGCCACACACATACTATGTATACAGTAAACGTTTATATATATATATATATATGTGTGTGTGTATGTTTAAGTAAAAATGTGTATGTAAGACATGAAATACATATTGCATTACTAGTAGATAAAATAGGTACAACACGTTCGTTCGATCAAACTTTTTGCAAAGGAATTATAATATGTTAATCTTTGATCATCGTACGGATGATCTTATTTTTTTATTATTATTAATGTTAATTAACATTAGATATTTCAGACCAGTCATTTTGACTGGTCGGGCCATTTTAATTCAAAATTTCTACTTCATGTAACATTTGATTTCTGTAAATAATTAAGCGTTTTGTTATTTAAAAATGTCTATAAATACATTTATCTATTAAAATTATTATTGTTATACATTTTTTGTTATATTTTAAGAGTAAATAAAGATTGGAAGCTTTAAAAAGCTTTTTTTTTTATACATCAGTCATTTTGACTAGTGTTAAAAATTGTTATCTCTTTAAATGCACTTGAAATTTAATCAAATGTAAATTATAAATATAAAATTAATATTCGATAAGAAAATGAAAATAATAACGAAATACATAGGGTATTTTCAAAAATATCGGGATGTGAATTTGACTATTAAAAAAAAAAAAAAAAAAAAAAAA